GACTTTGGAGTTAACAAAGGTGGTTGCGGAAGTGGTAACAATGCTGGTTGCAAAGGTACCGAGAGGGGAGGACATGGTGCTTATGGATTAGGTATTAGCAATGGAAATAGTAATGAAGGTTCAAATGGAAATCTTGAAGATTTCAATAATGAAAATAATGATTGTCAAATGAGTCCTGAAGGTTGTCCGGCCCCTTATAGTCTCACGCAAGGCACGAACAGCATTGAGAGTTTGAATGAAGAAAATAGTTTACCACCTCCACCTCCACCTCCACCTCCACTCCCTTTACTCGAAACAGATCTGAGTGGTACGCACACACAACAGAAAATCGCACCAGTGGTATCAAAATTAAAACAGCATGAGCAACACGAAGAAATCAAGCTAATGCAACAACCCTCACCACTTGCATTCTCTTCAGCTTTGATGCCCCTCGGTGATGGGCAGTTATGGAAGGGCCATCAGTTCATTCGTGCTTCACAACCGATCCATCCACTTCCTCTTAACATGTTTTCATTCTTTGCTTGATTCCTCTTTAAAAACCTTACAGAAGAGCTGAACAACCACCAAATTGCAACAAACATTTTTACTTGCCTTCGTATGCATTTTTAATTCAAATTTTATATCGTTTCTAATTATTGTAAATATTTTTTTGTTGCAATACAGTATACTTACTTATTCAGTTGAAATGAACGAACTGACAACTTTGAGAGTTGTTAGAAAACAAATTTCACATTTTGTACTACTCTATTTTCGGCTTCTTGTTGATGGCATAACAAGAAATGATAAAAGCTTAGTATTTGATTACATAATGCTTTCTACTGTAGGTTGATTATGTGCATAAATACAGTGGATAACTATGCATGAAATATTTCATGCATTCGTCAATTTTTGCATTGTTTTATATCTGATTTAAAAAGCATAAAAAATATTTTGTTGGCTCGCTTCTTTTTTTGGGATTTCCTTCAAGTAATGCAAACATTTATCTAGATTCGTCTCCATTATTTCAGCAATTGTTGTTTCCATGCTACCTACTATTCTAAACTTGCAGAAAGTTTTAAAATAGCTGAAAATTGATAATTTTCTCATAAAAGCGGAATTTCCAACAGTTTATAAATTCATTGTCACATTTCTTTGGTCAAAACACCTCATTAGTAATAAGCTCATCGTAATTAGCTAGTAATATTAAGATAATTATTAATAATTATTGCAAAAAACATTGCACACTAAATGACCTTACGTTAATTGTGCAGGCCAAAGCCTGCATCAAAATAAGTAATGGATGTCTGAAGTACTATTAAATAACTCAAACTTTGAAATTATTTAAATTTCATGACTTCCATAAATTTATTTTCGATACAGAACACATATCGTGGAAGTGAAGCAAAAGAAAAAAGAAACTAAAATGGTCAGATTGGTGGTGGAATGAACTATGAAGCTTAAACATTCGTAAGCACTACTTTCACTCATGCATGATTCTTCATTGATTCTGCTTGGCTGAATAAACTGATCTGATTCCCTAAAACGATTGAAGAGTAAGAGCTGCTGAGTTTCTCAGTATGATTATTTTATGACGCATAAAAGTAAATAACGCTTAGTGAAATTACAGTTGATATTTTGTGTAATTGCAGGTAGTTTGAATCAGAACTCATCAATGCAATATTATAATTTTTATTTTTTTATTTATTGATAAATTTATTATCAAAAGTTTGATTGAGTTATAATTTACTTTTTAATATTATTTTAGTTTGGAGATATTATTGCTTTCTTTCATTTTTAATGTGTTTCTAAGTGAAAATCACAGATGGCAATGCATTAAACAACAATTTGTGAAGAATTTCTTTTTATTTTTGATCAAAATTGTAAGTATAGCTATTGAATCCATGCATCATAATTAATTTGTGAACGTATTCAAATTTTCCTCCTGAATCTAGAAAATTGTTTTATGTTTTGGAGGCTTCAAATAGATAAAATCAAAAGTGCGGCCAATTTGATCTGCACAGTTTACTATACTTAATC